CTTCTAAATATTGTGATCACCTCTTTCACTTAAATTCTCGTTCGGCAACGAATAAACATGACTCTATAATATCACTTCAAGGTCAGTGTCGGGTTTGCTTTGACATATCAATGCTTACGGAAACGTGGTATCAGCAGGACGCTGGAATGTTTATCGTACAGGGTTACAAACATTTTTTTAAACCGCAAATACCGACGTGGTTGTGGTGTCGCCATTCACGTGAAAAGTTCTATTGAATATGAGTTGATGAAAACCTTTTATAAAGTTACAAGTGATCATGAAGTATTAAGTATAAACGTAGAAACAAAATTTTAACTGTTTTGTACCGTTCACCTTGGGCAGACTTTTTAAATTTTATTTATTTTCTTGAGAAGTTATTGAGTTACGTTCCTGTAAATTACTATCGCTTGGTCCAAGAGGGTGATATCAGTGTAAATATATTAGAAGATTCTATTCAAGCAAGAACTCTCACTAATATGTTAAACTCTCCGGGCTTTCAAAGCGTTATCACATCCGTGACTAGAATCACATTATCCACATCAAATGCAAGCGATCTTTTTATTACCAATACTTCTACCAAAGTACAAAGTCGCGGAAATCATTAGCAGCGATATCAGCGATTATATTTCAATTTTTTTTTTATTTATATAATCGCGGAACGGAGAAAGAGAGTCTGAAGGCTACCACCACCTTTCCGAAAATAGCAGATGATTGCTTACTAGCATTTAGGAACGAGGTTTTAAACTGTGATTGGACCCCCATTCACTCTTAAGATAAATGCGGATGAATCTTATCACAAATTCTTGCATATTTTCAAAGCACTTTATGACTTACATTTCCGGTTCGAAACAGTAACTGAAAACAGGAAGAAAAGGAAACCGTGGGTGACCCCTCTGCATATAAAAATTATGCAAGAAAAAACTACCTTATATAAGGAGTTTGTAACTTCACGAAATCAGGACAAGTTTTAGCGTTTTAGGAAACTTAGGAACGAATTAATGTCCGAACTAAGAAAACCAAAATCGTCGTACTATATAAGCAAAAAGTATATGACACAACTAAACAGCGCCCTAATGTTGTTTAGAAAGTTATAAATGAAGTTCTTCGTCGCGATAAGGTACCTTCACGTAAAAGAGTATTAACCCCAGCAGGTTGAACCACGTCGGGAGCGCGCCTGGCAGATTGTTTTAACGCCCACTTTACAAATACACAGATTACTGCCCGCGACGGACAATTGCCATTTGTTGTGTCAGGTATATCGACGACACTTTTTTCTTGAACCCCACCAACGATAAATAAGTAATAAAAAAACAGTTAGGGCGCAGGCGAGCTGGTGTAAGTTTACCGTTTTATACCACCTGAGACAGGGTGGAAGAAACACGACGACGTCTAAAAAAATTTAGACGTCGTCATGTTTCTTCCACCCAGTCTCAGGGGATAAAAAAATAATAAATAAGTCTTTAATAGATTCTTATGTCTCAGAAAGAGTAAGAGTGGTGTTATCTGCAAGGCAGAAATAATACCAGTTAAATTTGTAATGGACATTATTGCACCATGCCTAGCGCATATATACAACTTATCATTATCTTCTGGGATATTTATCCCAAGTATGAAGTTTGCTAAAGTTTTAGTCATATACAAAGGAGCTGATAAAAACACGGTAAAAACTATAGACCTATATACTTTTCCTGTTTTGTCTAAAGCACCCGAGAAAATTACTCTTACACGTCTCGATAACTTTTTTGCAGAACATTATATGTTAACAGAAAATTAATTTGATTTTCGAAAATGTAAATCAACTGAAGCTGCGTTGTTATTTCAAAAAGAAATTGTACTACAGAGCTTATAGAAGAGACTTATTACGTTAGGTGCATTTATCGATTTCAGCAAACCATTTGATGTCTCAAATCACAAAAATTTTGCTTGCGAAATTAACTCGTTATGGCGTCCGTTGTGCGCCACTTTCTTTGCTGAAATCATATTTACCACATGGGAATCAGTGTGTTGTTATTGATGGTCGTTGCTCTTCTTTTCGAAATATACAGCATTTGGCTTAACGTAAACGCAACGAAATCCAAGGCTATTTTATTCAGGGCTACAAATAAACCAATCGTGGTAAATCATACACTCCAACTTGGCACCTTGTTTATTGAACTAGTGAATAAACATAAAACTTAGGTGTATTTTTTTTCCTGAGCACTTGACGTGGAAATTGCATGTCAACTATCTAGTTGGTAAACTTTCTCGCATGGTCGGTAATGTCGCTCGTTGTCGGAGTGTTTTACCCCCTAAAATTAAGCTACGAATCTACCATGATCTATTTTAGTCTCATTTGAACTATTGCCATTACCCATGGGCTACAATGACAAAAAAGAATCTTCAAAATTTATTACTAGTGCAAACAAAAAAAAAAGAAAAAAGATAAATAGTACGTTTTATGCGAATGTTTTGCATACGGACCACAAATAACCTTTGTTTACAAAATTTAAAACACTTCCTGTTGGGAGTATGTACGAATACCGTTTGCTTTATACGATTTGTTTTTCATCTGAGGCATTTGTAGATTTTGTGTACATTATTTCAATGTTAACACACGCCATAAAAAGACATATGTGTTTCCTCAATCCAGATCTTTCAGTCACTACATTATAATGTACCATGCTTATTAAAAAAATTTATCGCAAACAAGATAAACACATACACGTATATAGAGAATGTCTCAGCTCGTACTGTGTGTAGCTTCGCGAAGTGGCATTTTGAATTACATGTTTTTGTTGTGACTTAAAAAAAAAATATATATATATATATAATTTTATATATAATATATACAAATATATAATAATATATAATATATATATATAATTATATATATAATTTTTTTTAAATATAAGTTGTGTCTTTCAGTGCCTAAGCTGCTGTCAATGTAAAGGGATCCCAGACCCAGTCAAGCTGTTTTTTTAACAGGATTTTTTCTGCCGATTCCTTTAGTTGTCTCGAAAATAAAAATTTGATTTGATTTGATGCGATATTTTAGGATATGATTTGATTTCACTTCATTTAATTAGATTTTTGAGCCAAGTCTACAACTTCTTTTTATCAGGCGACTTTTGAGTCGCTCATTAAAAGTTAGCTAACGGTCTAAAAAAAATAGTGGCGCGGTTGCTTTTTAGCAGAACATTTGAAAATTCAATAACTGCGATCTACAAAGAAAGCTCGGAGAACAAAAAAAGCCGTAAAAAACGTTTCAAAAAAAGAAAAAAAAAAAAAGAAACATCTGCAATGCGACAATGAGCATGGCCTTTCACATACTCAAGTTGTGTACGGTGCCAAAAGGGCAATTTTAGTTTTTTGAGAGGCAATCGTTTTTTCATTTTTGTTTTCCTGGAAGTTCGATGCGTGATTTGCAATGACAAACTTTCCAAGATGCTGGGTCTGAAAGTACAAAGACAACGGTTTTTCTGCTTTGTACTTCTGTACTTACTTGTTTCGGTTCATATGTACAATAATCACGGCTTCTGTTTTGTTTTGAATTATTTTTTTTACATACCACAGTATAGCATGCTGATTTTGTTTTCCGCGTTAATACGCACGCCAATTTTTTGGGCGTTTAGATTATTCCAGCGGCCATCTGTAAGAGGGCGGGAGACACTGCCAAGCTTCTACGGCGAATTGCTACTCAGTTCTCAAACCGTTCTCTAATCGAACATAAAGTTTATTAATAACGTTATTATTTTAGATCCAACGCGCCCCTCCGCCCTTTTTCTCTTTACCGATTTTGACGTTCACAGTAGATGGGCTACCTCGAGGGATAGGACAGCAGGTGCATCTGATTTTCTTCGGATATATTAGAGATGTCGAAGGTTTCAAGACAAGCTCAAGTACAAGCTTATTAGTCCATGTCGTTTGACTGCATAGTTCGTCTGACTGCGGTGTCATAATTACGTCTCTTATATTCGCTTCTTCGGACAGATAAAAGGGTAACTATAACGGGATGATATACGTAGCTTCGACTGTTGAAATATTATACGGCAATGCAGGAGTAAATTAAAATACAGTAAAATAAAGGAAATACATGTATGTACGTCAGCGCAAGGACTTGACAAGTACAAATCCCAAGGCAGCAGCATCAACGGAAGCACATCATGCCTTGTGGGAGTACAGGAGATTCAAATAATTTATGATAATTTTATCAGACATGGCGTATATATTCTAATTCCCTTTCATACTCAAATAGTGCCAAAAAGGACATCGAGACGAAAATAACAACCCTGAAAACAAAAAAAGGCGTTTGCTTCTCGCGCTTTATATCTAGGAGAACACTCAGTCAACATACGATGCAATTTTAAACGAAATAGGGAGGAAAACCCGCTGCAAATTCGCGTGAGAGCAAAAGTAACTTTAAAAAAATCCGACTAGTCTACGAACTACAAATTTAAAACCGTTCATTGGCTCATCGCAGAGTTGTTGGAAGAAAATGCCACAGTGCACAAATAATAAAGTAGCGGATTCCATTTATGACCACATGAATAGACTGTCACTCGCTTTCCTTACCGACGGCATCTTTTTCTTTTCTTTAGCTCTCTTTGATTACAACGATGCGGGAAGAAGAGTTTTCCTCGACCAGTTGGGTGGTCTCCCTCCAACGCCGATAATCCCAGTTAGGCTGAAGTTCTCCACAGAAGATAACTTGGATTAAACTCTATGCCGTTGGCCGCTCAACGTAATTATGGGCGAACCTCCGCGATCCCCGATTTTCCGTCCCCCAGTCTGCCGCGACGCGGGGCCACGCGTGCGCCAACGCCGGCCCTTGGTTCGTCGATGGGAGCGCCGCTGGAGTAAAGGGCGCACGGCGATGAGAGAGCGCAATACCTCGGTGACGAGGAGGAGAGACGCGCAAGGGGGATGAAAAAATAAAGAAGAATCCGGCTCCGACCCGAGCCCCCGAACAAACGCGCGGTTAGAACTCTCCGCGTCCTCAGCGCGAGAAGAACACCGGGGAGTGAGCGCCCCTCCGCTCGCTTGCAAAGTTTGTCCGGTCTCCAAACTTTCTTAACAAGTGCATCCTCTGTCCCTTCCGCATCAGGCAACGAACTTTCTATAGCAACCGTCGGGCGCGGGTCTCCTCGTTTGTTGACGCTTGTGAACGTGTAACAACCAAAAACTAGCAACATATATTAGTCACTTTTGCTGCTCCTATCGAAAAAACGGATTTTTCGGTGGTCGAGGTTTCCAGCCAGGTCTTCAGCGAGGTCTTGAAGCGGGTGAAACCGCCGTCCCATGCTCTACAATGGACCCGGATCCGATGAACGTGTCGGCGACGTGGCAGTACCTCGTCCAGGACCTAAGCGTAATCGAGTCATCGTTGAATTCGACGAACTTGACAGCGGGAGCGTCCGCAACCAACATCTCGCCGACGGATTACCCGCCCATGCAGGCGCTGGGCGTCGAACTTCAGGCGTTCCTGATTACGCTGTACAGCTTCACGGCCCTGCTGGCCCTGGGAGGGAACGTCATGGTCATCGTAGTCCTGGTTCTCGGCAAGAGGTCGTCCCGCGAACTGAGGCTCTTTCTGGTAAACTTGGCCCTTTCGGACATCACGATGGCCGTGTTCTCGATCCCTTTCACCTACACGGACTTTATGCTCGGTCGCTGGATATTCGACCCGCTCTTCTGTCCCGTGGTGCTCTTCATGCAGCATCTTTCGGTCATTGTCTCCGTGTACACGCTGACGGCCATCGGAGTCGATAGGTGAGTGCGGAGATTTGTTTTTGTTTACGGGATGCGTGGTTGTGTAAACCAAAATATGACCTGTTTGCTTCATTTTATTCAATTTTGTTTTACGTAATTGAGGGGTCCATCTCGACTTTACTCCTCTTTATTGTGCGCCGACCTGTCAAATACCATCGCTTGTTTCGGTAAGGAATCACTAGTCAGTAGAAGTACATTAGCTACCGTCTTTTTCTTTGTCGTATTCTTGTGCTCTGCTCATTATCGCTTTCTCTAAATAAAGACCGGGAGTCTACTTTCCCGCACAACACTCGGAGAGCCAATCACCGCAGCTTAACGGAGGTAGCTCAGCGAATGGCGATGCCGAAATATATGTTTAGACCAAAAAACGCAACCTGGGTTGTGATATTAAGCAATGCAGAACGTCACGCTTGCATTGCTTAATGTCACAACTCAGACTGCGTTTTTTGTGTTTTTATTTTTGGTCTAAACACATGTTTTTGGTCGTGATTCGCTCAACTGCCTCTGTTAGCTGCGGTGATTGGCTCTCCGAGCGTTGCAAAACACGCAAACTGCCTTTTTTTAGAGTGCATACTGTCGGCGCTCAATTTGTTTTTCTCGATGCCTTGCGATTTTGCTCTAATAGCGAGTTTAACTTTTTTGACGCCATGAAACCTTATCTGTCTCATATGTGAACTGGCGTCCCGTGACTTCCTTCGTCTCTTCACTCGAAGCACTTTTCTGGGGCCCTAACTTACATTACAGTTAATTTGATACGCTCTGTAACATTGTGTTTAAATTGAGCAGCGATTCCTTTCTCAGGGACAGCTCCAGATTTCGGCAGCTTGTTTGAGGGATACGCAGCGCGCATGAAAATACGAGAGTGTCTAGTTGCGTGCAGTGGAGGTGACCGCAATAATTCTCGCGCTAAAAAAAACAAAAAAAAAAAAAACACAGAAGGGCTATGAATAGAAAGGCTTTGGACGCCAGTTTTTGATTTCCTAATATATCTTTCCGGTGAAATAAAGAAGTACCTACCAGACGTATTACCTTTTATGCGACTCACGTTAAGAAAACATTACGCGTATTTGTTTTGTGCACACTTAGTGTAACGGTGTCAAATCTAACCGTGAATAGTTTTAGATAAACAATTGATTGATTGTTGTGACAAAAAAGTCTTATATAAATAATATGTTTAACAATGAGATAAAAAAGAATAAGCATAATCTTAATGTTTGAGCACCCCCCCCCAACGAGAGTCCACTCCAAACCATTCAAGGCTGAGTTTACTCATGTAGAAATAGCATTGCTAATTTCTTGGGAGCTTTCCGGCTTCAGAAACTGCCGTTTTCGCTTAGCTCTAATTTATCTGAGCGATTATTTTTGTTCACTGATTCCGTAACAAAAGTTTTAATTGCGAAGAGCGTAAAACAAAGCTGCTTCGCTCGGCTTTCATAGCATAACTCGCCCCCTACAGAAGGTGTGGCCAGTATGTTACGAGCTCCATTTTTCCTTTTAGCACTACCACCACTAGGTTTCTCAGAATTACATAGCGTTTGCTTGTCAACCGTGACAATCCCGAATAATTGACCGCGACATAATTTCTGCCTGCTATCGTAACGCAGACATTTGCTTTTGCGACGCAGTCTAAACAACGCTCTCTTGATTGGTCTGCTAATTGAGCCCTTTCAGCGTGGGATAGAGAATAACTTCAAAAAACACTACTGGTAGTGACAGCTAGACTGACAGCCCTGAAGCCCATCTGTGACAATGTCGAACTTCCTTGGTGCAAACGTGTACAGTCACCGCGGGCCAATGTATACATATATATTTTCCGTGACAAAATCGCATCGTAACGCGGATAACACATACGCACTCGCGCTGAGAGCCGTCAAAGCGCTTGCAACTCACAAAAATAAAGGAAACAAAAAACAATATTCGGTTGGTGAAATGGCCGAGATATCACGATTCTTAACAAGAGTGTGTGCATAAATTCACTCCAGAAAAAAAACCTTTTGTACTGCCACACATTCAAGCTATACACCGAGTAAATAAATCTAAGCCGTCCGGCGGGTTGGTAAGTTTAAACATCACGGTCAAATCTTGAGTAAAACTTTCACACGGCGTAAATTTCGTTCGGGGGAAGGATTGCGTATTGATGTGGACACAAGTAGCTTCTGGAGAACGATGAACACTTGCAAATAAAGGAGGCAACGTGAGTTTTCTGTGGGCGCTTTCTCTTGGCCAGACAGTAAACATGCGATGCTTGCATGCCGAGAGCAGAGGTAAATGTTTCGAAGGACTGAAAGACACCGCTTTCGAAACGAGCGTTCAACCCTGCCGAATAAATATACGGCCTTCACCCTGTGTTTAACTGTAGATTATACAGCGCGCAAGATTTGTCAGATTTGCGATGGGAGGGTTCCAAGTATGATTACTGAGAATAGCCTGTTTCCGTTCTGCTCGTTTCTCGGTATGATTTACGTTCTATATCTAGCACAGTGTGATTGTATTGTTTGGGCTTTGAACTGGTCGCATGAGTGGGCTTCTTAAAGGGCATTTTGTTTACGGTGAAAAACAGAAAAAAACCAGGACGAAGCTAGCCTTCCCTGAAACAGGAAACGCATGAAATATTTGCTAGAAAAAGCAATATCTTTACAAAAAGATGGATTTCTGACATACCTAGTGGGGTTTCTTTTTTATTATACATCTCTATTTTGCACATCAATGTGATACTATTATTTTTAACAAAGTTATGCTTTTTTATTCTTGTGCGACGTTTCAGTCTAATTATCGTGGTAGTTTTTGTTTTAGTGAATTAGCTTCTAAACTGCGTTTTTTTAAGAGTAATTCATCTTAGCGTACTAAAATCAGGTTGTGTTAATGTACTCACTGTAAAAAAGGTAAGTCGTAGCTTTTGATTTTGGCTTCTTCAACGTTGAATTAAAACCAATGGATACGTTGTTGTTTCATTCATTTATGCAGCACACTTTCTAGAAACAAGGCCGCGAGGTGATCTGAATGCTCTTTCGTGACTTCACGCAACAAAGCGTTTCCGTTGTAATTAAATATTTTCTTCACGTGCCTCCCGAAATAATTGTTCTTAAAGCTGTATCGTCCGGCTGTTGACGCTTTACGCTATTTTTTGTGAGGGTCAAGAACGGCATTAGTAAGCGACGACAGCTTTTAAACCTAGTCGCTTTCCTTGTTCCTCCACCGGGAAAGCTGCAAAGCGGCTGGTTAACACGTCACTTGTTTTGAATAGTTTGTGGACGTCTTGTATTTTAGTTTGTGGTTTAGGTTGTGGAACGTCTTGTATTTGTTCTTTCAAGCTAAAGTGCCGGCAAGAAACGTTTAAAAGGAAGTCTACGGGCTTTTGTTTCGTTTGAATTTGCATTCTTGTACCAAAAACAAGTTGTCGAATCATCACTACAAACCACAAAGGTTTTCAAAACGTGTAGGAACAAGTTGAAAGGGAGTAGCCGCTAAGTTAAGTAAAATCTCGTGGCGAAACATGAGGAGCCACTGAAACTTTAATGATCGTTACTTTTTAATATTTTTCTCGGAAGACGAAATGCTACTTTTGGGGGCATGAAGGAGTAATTTTTCTTTCTGGGCATGATACATGTATAAATAAGCTCGCTCGTCGTCATTTTATTTTTTTGTTATGTTTTATTTTTTCGTTTAACCCAACCAAAAATAAGCCGGCCGACAAAAACGTTTGGGTAGAGAGTACGTTTATGTCTTCGACCCCCATTCAATGGTACGCTCATTTTTAGGTTTTCTTCCGGGGTTTTGATACGTCAATAGCCTTGATTTTGAATGTTAAGGAGTCATCCTTTCATCAGACGGGTTTCGATAATATGGTATTTTCATATGAATAAAACATGAAACGAAATGCTCAGCAGCTTATAAACGCCGTCTTGTATTGTAAAGTAAAGTGGAGTATTTTAAGGTAGCTAGTTTGGGGGCTACGGGCCGTTCGTCGAAAGACAATTCGTATCAGGGCAATTCGTAGCAGGGCAATTGGTCGCGTAGGGCAATTCGTCATGGGGCTATTCGTTACTAGGACATCTAGTCGAAAACTGGGCTTCTTTTCTTAGTTTATCTTTTTTTTTAGGAAACTTTAGAACAAACTTTTCAACCATTACAGCTTACCGGAATTCGGGAAGGGGAGGGGAGGGAGGGTGAATTGAGCGTGTATGTATAAAAGATAAAGTTCAGAAGCCTCCCCAGAAAAGTTCGAACACTGCCTTGTTGTCCACGTTCTTTTGGAGTTTCGGAAAGGTGGGAGGCTTTACATCTAAACATGTATGCTGTCTTGTATCTCGTTTGGATACTTCACGATCCTTTGTCCGGTTTCTGTTCGCAACACCAGCCCACCGCTCGCCGCCCTCTGGCAGACGAACGGAGAAAACAGAGGAACGGGAACGGCAGCGGTGGCGGCGGCGCGGAAACGGTGTCAGGAGCTGACGGCCTTGATGCGTGAAGCCATTCTAACGAAGAAAATTGAGAGCGTTAAAGTAGAAATTCTCGTACTCCGCCTTGCAACAGCCTTAGACGAAGAACTGGGATGTCTAATTTTGTTAGGGACCTTTCGTATATTGCACATTCTGCGGATTTCTGGTCGTGTGCTTGGCCGCCAGCTCAATCTGTGCTCAACGTGACGGCAAACGCTCCCGGTACTGATGTAGAGCTCTAACGTACGGTCTACGAAAAGTCTATTCTTTGCCCTAGGTAGAAAAAAACTGGTCGCGTAACGATCTGTTGAGCAATACATATCGGGAATGGGTTCGCACTTTAAGGCCGTTACAAGAAACATGACCATTTATATCAAGCACGCTTAAGAAATAGCATACGCGTACTTGCTTTCACGTATTTAGAAAGTAAATAAATACTCGAAGCAGTTTAAGCGCGTCTCTGTTAGCCAGCCGTTCCTGACGAAAGCTTAGAACGGGCAGTTTTGGCGAAAGGGGACGCAACTTGAAACTAACAGGGTGCAAAAAATGTACGGTATATTAAAAT